AAGGGGGTTGCGGGCTCCCCTCTTCCCGAGACGACCACGCCCTGCTCAGAGTGTCGAAGGCCTTTAGACTTCTCTGGACCGACTCACCAAAGGTCAAAACGCTCGCCACCGCGGAGCTCCGACAGACGGTCTCCGCGTTCACCCGCAAGCGCCTGAGGGACGTTTCCACAGCGGACCTTCGCGACTTCCTCAACGGGGCTGACTCCACCGTCTTACCAGGATCCACCACGACCAACATGTGGATGGACCTGCGCAAGCAGCTACGGTACCTTAACAAGTACATCAACATCAGAGTAGCTGGTGAGACGGATGAGCTGGCTTTAGTGGCCAATGACGACGAGGGCTCCACTCTTTTTTTCCAAACCAACAAGGAGGTTCCTCGTTGGAGGCTGCAAAAAGCTGCTGAGGAACGACTACAGCCGTCGTCTCTGAGAGCAGTCCGGTCATAGGAAAACGACCCCGAGCGTGAGTCTAAGCAAGGACTCTAACTTCTTCTTGTGCTCGGGCAGATACCTTTCCTTTTCTGCTTATAGGTTCTGCTACCGAGCCAGCCTAGACTTGCTTCGGACAAATGCTAGGTCAACGGGTAACGCGCACTACTGTCGTAGGTGCGGCTACCATCAAGAGACCCTGCCCCACATCCTCTGCCACTGCCTCCAAGCACACGGCACGATGTATACCGACCGCCACAATAAACTGCTCAACCGAGTGGTGCAGGGCATCCTGAGGTCGACCAGAAAGGAGTTGCGAGTGAACCTCGCATTCCCTATGATCGGCTCTCGGAATCGCCTTGATATAGTGGTAATCGATAAGGTGGACAGAAGAGCCGTCATAGTCGACGTGACCATCCCATTTGAAAATGGGAGGGACGCGTTCGACGCGGCCAGGCAACGAAAGATTGAGCACTACGCACCCGAAGCCGTCCTCCTGTCTCAACAGGGCTTTCGGGTCACCACTGAAGCGCTCATCTTAGGTGCCCTGGGCGCATGGGACCCGCAAAACGACAGTGTGCTCCGACTCCTAGGAGTCGGGCGGCGGTACGCAGGTCTTCTGCGAAAACTTGCCATCGCGGACATCCTCCAGGTCTCGGCCGAAATTTACTTTTCCCATACAGGCCCTGACCACCAGAAGGATGCCGTCGACCAAGTACTGCCCCGCAGCGAGCCACAACCGATCACCGAAGAAGATGGGACGGAGAACTCACCCCGACGGAGGGCAGACACCCAGTCTTTGTCAACCCTGACTCTCCGACGGACTCTCCAACTGCTAATTCTTAGCAGCTACCCTTTGCCTTCACCTTCCCCGTCATCCTTCTCCACCATCTCCGCCTGTCACCACTCACATGACTCACCTCTCTGAACATACTTCACCGGTACACTTTTGTAAGAATTGTTGTATTTAAATCTTTGTATAATAAACTTTTAAATCTGTACCCGTTGGAATGTTGGTGATGAATGATACCTGCCGTTTGCGGCAGATATTAACTTTCTGTCAGTTTCCACAATACAGCGTAAGATCACCGATGCCCGGCAGCAAAATGATTAAAAGATCGAAAGCCAGTATGAAAGTATTCTTCCAACTCAATGTGGTGGCCGTCACGGCCTGTCATGAATCCCGGAACAGTCGACCAATGTTGCACGAATTTACGAAAATTGCGTGTAACAAGAATACTGTAACTGCAGAGCTATACAGACCCAAAAAGCACAGACCGCCGTCC